GTGTGTGTGTGTGTGTGTGTGTGTGTGTGCGCGCGCGCGCGTGCGGGCGCGCGTACGTTTATGTAAAGTGCCTAGAGCTGTATTACACGGGAGTGGTCGCTATAGAAATAATCTACATTATTATGTATTACACGTTTTCTATTTTGCTTTTTTAAAAATCACTTCTAATGCTTCTAAGTTATTTTGCTTCAGGTCTCACTTTAGCCTTTCTAAACAGAACAAGAACAACCGAAAGTCCAATGATGGCCTCAACACTATGCACCAGTATTTTCTTCATCGCTTTTATAATTGTCACCACTGCCACATCTGAGCAGAAATGGGCACGAGAGGTTCTGTATGGTGACACTGCAAACTTAACTTGTGAAAGTCACCATTTTCGGCCTGCTCAGTTCCGGGACGCCCATTTTCAGTGGATGTTTCCCAATGGTAAGCTAATATAAAACTAGGTAGACCTTCCTTTGGCTAAATGAGCCGTAAAATTGAACTAGCCCCTCTTTCAATACTCTCAGGTTCGATTCCCAGTCTGATGTCTTTCTCCAGTAAGACCGGGTCAGGTGGATGAAGTTGAAGAGCCCCCCCCACACACACACAATAAAAGAAAACCACACACAAACAAACAGACATTGAACCCGTGGGTAAAAATTCTTTAAAAACACATGATGATATTGTTAACGAGCTAAATCTAATGATAATATATAGAAACAATGATATCGTACCAATGACGCTGTCCCAAGTAGAGCAAGTGGAGATATAATAGAATCAGAGACAATACAATGTGGCGTCGGTGGCTCCGCGCAATTTAGACTCGCAACCGTAAGGTCATGGGTTCGAATCCCGTCAGGGGCCCGACGTTGTATCCTTGGGAAAGGCACTTTACACGAATTTTCCTCACTTCACCCAGGTGGGAATGGGTACCTGGCTATAGACAGCGAAAGATCTTGTCAGTTTGTTTGTGTTTGAGCTGCTTGCACTGTATGCTTCCCGGGAAGCTGAGAGAGAATGTTTCGGAGTGTTCTATGGTCTGCTGGGGTAATAATATAATGTAAAGCTCATAGAGCCTGCTGTTGAGCGGGGATATGCGCTATACAAATGCTATTTATTTATATTTACAATGCACTAGACACACTTTGAATAACGTTAGCACAGAACAATTCCCTTTCACACACACACCAAAAAAAATCACGTTCTTCATCGCACTTCTCAGGACACTGTTTTTAATGCCAAGTGCTAATTTCAGAATTCAGTGTCTGGAGAAAAGTTCAGATAGTAGTTTTCCTTTAAACTAGGACACAGCAACTTGCTTTGGCATGTATCGATTTTATAAAGTTGTTTTTTTTCCATAAGGCCTTTAGGTTTTTGCTGTTAAAGGCTTTTTTTTTTAAGAGTCCTCAAAGTTCAAAATAATTGGGACATTTCATTCTTTACTTTGTTCTACAATATTCGTCACAACAAACAGTTGGTCTCTCGTGTCAAAACCCCGCTTGCTCTTCTTTAAGTTTAAGTCTTTCATCTAGTGTTGTTCTAATACGTGACGAAATAACTGAGTCTATTGTACTATATGAACAACGGGATTTTTGCAGACAACTAAATAGAGAAAGGAAGTAAGAGAGAGAGAGAGAGAGAGAGAGAGAGAGACAGAGAGAGACAGAGAGAGACAGACAGACAGACTGACAGACAGACAGACAGAGGCAACACGAGAGGGAGACAGAGCAGAGAGAGAGACAAATAGGGACAGAGAGAAATAAATAAATAGAGAAAGAAAGAAAGAGAGACAGACAGACAAACAGACAGACAGAGAGAAAGACAGACGGACAGACAGACAGACAGACAGACAGACAGACAGACAGACAGACAGACAGACAGACAGACAGACAGACAGACAGAGAGGGGGGGGCATTCATCCTTTGGCCTTAATCTAGCACCGTTCCTAGGAAAAGGTCTACACTGTTAACTAGCTGAAACTGCACTACAATGAGCAGCTGCCATGGTAATCAGTTATCAGGAACAAGGGCCGTGTTAACCTTTCTATTCCTTAAGGTGAAGTCGTAAATCCAAACTCACCGCCATTGGACAAGCACTACAGTTTCAACGCCAACGGCTCCATTCTTTTAGTCCACGACGTTGATAGAGATGATTTCGGGCTATACTTCTGTCTGGTTTCTCTACCCCCAAATATGCTCGTGCACGTCGCCGTCAGACTAGGCCTCAACGTCAACGGTCCTTTCTACGGGGATCTGAACGAAAAGTACCAGCCCCGACTCAAAGTGGGCCTTTTTGCTGGTTTGGTCGTCTTTGTCGTCATGTCTATGTTATGTTTCAATTTAGACCAGACTCAACACAGGCTAGACCGACCTAACACTGGAAGCAGCAAAAACAAACGTCGGTCGCCGAGCTATGAGGTAAGATGGATATAATATAATATTGTTAATGTATTACTCTTTCTTCGACACAATTTAGATTCTTTCCAGTGGAGGGCTACTTTGACCCTGTCTGACAGTGAACATGGACAATTAATTCGGGTTGAGTTGAATATGTCCTCCCAGAAGACAGACAGACGGAGAAACACCAAACACCCGATAAAATTACCCCCCCCCCCCCTTCCCTAGGAGTTGAATTCACGTCATCACAATAATGACGCAATGGCAAGGCTAAATTTTTATTTAAACTCCTATTTTCAGTATAATGTAATCGTTGAACGAGGGGTTGGTTACTGAGCTGTGGGATAACATGGTTAGACTGTTTATGTTTTACTCCTCCTTCGGCACAATTTACATCTTTTCCGGGGGCTTCCTGCTTCGACATTGCCTGACAGTGGACATATTCTAAAGGCACAACATGGCCGTGATGGAAAAAAATGTTGTAGACAGTGGTCAAGACTACTAAGAGATAGGGGCCTACAATATTATGACAAAATATATTTGTGGGAGAAATAAGAAACCAGTAGCTTCATAAAATGTGAACAAAATCTGTCATTGTGAGAAATACGGGGTGATTTTTAAAAAACTTGTACAAATTTTTTTTCTTCTAAATATCTCGCACATAATTTGTTCTAGAATGTTACATTTATATAATTTACTCAAAAGGAATTTGTTTGATATAAAATTCACAAAGCAAAAAACTTATTTTCGAAAACGGAAATGGCTTTTATAAAAAGCATAAATGCAAATGCACCAATTAAAAAGATTTCGTAAGGTAAGCCATTAAATGATGGGTGACCTTATTTAGGCCACATGTGGCCTAAATAAGCTAACCCCCCCCCCTCCCTTATCTTTTTAGGCCACTGTGGCCTAAATAAGCTAAACCCCCCTCCCTTACCTTATTTAGGCCAAATATGGCCCAAATAAGCTAAGCCCCCTCCCTTACCTTGTTTAGGCCACATCATATGGTAAATTTCTTGAACTAATCATGGATTCGGAAGGTCGAGATTCTACTGATCTTTTTATTTATATTTCAAAATAGAGGATGATACTAAATGAAAAGTGGACCAAGGGTAAGAGTTGTGTGTGTGTGTGTGTGTGTGCGTGCGTGCGTGTGTGTGTGTGTGTGTGTGTGTGTGTGTGTGTGTGTGTGTGTGTGTGTGTGTGTGTGAGTGTATGTGTTTGTTTTGTGTGTGGTTGTGGTGAGAGAGATTTAGAGAGAGAGAGAGAGTAAATGTGATCATGTGTTTGTATGTGTGCGTGTGTAATGTGTGAATGTTATTGTGTGCATGAGTGTCTATCTCAGGTGTACGGTCCAAATGTATATTATTTTGTTGAGAATTTTACATAGAACTCAACAAAAAAATCACCTTTATACAAAGTCACAGGAATATTCTTTTTGTGCTTATTGAGGTACAGCACAGGCTGATTTTACCTGCAAGGATAATTGGACAAAATGGGCAATATCTTTATAAATTGCTAATGGCCATATTTAGACAAATCCTATATCATTCTCTTTTTTTTTCTTAACTGCTCATGGTTATTTAAAGAATAAGCCAACTAGTAATTTCGGATTCCTAATATTATTGGCATTCTTAAAAAATTTTAACTTGTATTTAGCGCTTTTCTCAACGTAAAACGAATTCCGTAAAAAAAACCCAACAACAATGACCTTATCTTTCTTTTTCAAAGTACAATGTATTGTGAGTACATTTGTGTGAAACTATATATATTCTATGCTTTCAAGTAGATACATGAAAAAAGCTAATAAAGTCAAGCAAAATGTTCTTCAGAGACATAGATCTAGTAGTAGGCCCACTGGAACATTTTATAAACCGTGAAAAGATGACCAGAAAAACAGAATTATCTTATGATCTTCACTTGCACTTGCAATTTTTTTGACAAATTATAGTCTACCTCATTATCTTTTTTAAAACCTTTTTCTTCACTATTTATGACAACTGGCATGTATTGTTTTCAGTTACATGTATTATCAAGGAAGTGGATAGGCGATGCGCTTTTCCCTTTCGTCAACCCGCAGCCACCTCCGAATCGTCAGCCACCCCCAACCTTTGACACGGGTCAAACTTCCATCTATTTATAGGTAGTTAAATCTACCGGAACATGTATTAGGCGAAGTGATGTGCAATGATAGTCGCAATAGAGAGATTGTTTTGGTCTCTCTTTACTCATCTGCACCACACGAATTTAATTGATGTTTTCCCCTGGACTCTGCCTTTACTAAAGTCTCGAATCTAGATCTAGTTGTAATCTAATTGCAGGTTGCAGATTTAATAAATTGCCGACAGAGAGAGAGAGAGAGAGAGAGAGAGAGAGAGAGAGAGAGAGAGAGAGAGAAAGAGAGAGAAGGGGGAGGAGTAGATCTTGCGAGAACTTTCGGGCAAAACAAAATGGTGACCCGCGTAGTTCGGTCGATTCGAAAAGTGAAAGCCATAGCATCTTTGTAGACGATCAAATTAGCTTACTTTTGTGCTATAACGTCATTTTTTTCTTTGCCTTTGTCAGTTTGATCATCCACACAGATAGAAAGTATTTCGAAATTAGGAAAAACAGGTCTTGTTTCACACTGGGTGAGAATAGCCAACGCTGGCAAGTCTCACCCGGGGTGAGAGGTCAATCGTAGGGGTTTTATTCTCACCCCGGGCGAGGATAGCAATAGCCACTTCCTTACTTAAATGATTAGGTGATTAAACTTGATCTCTTATTGACAATATAAAAGTCAATTTAAGCATCATTTCGTTAGAAAACAATGTGTTAGGTTTGCTAACTTCATAGACTTTGTGTTAAACAACACTCTTAACAAAACGAATCCTTACAAGCCTAGGCTTGGCCTTTGTAATCTCGAAGGTTTAGAAGTAGAAGAAGAAGAGTCTACTACTAGAGTCTAGTCCAATTTATTTAATCTCTGGAATGTACTGGATAACAACAGAAATCTGCAACCTGCCACTAGATTACAACTTTAGATCTAGATCTAGATCTAGATTCGAGATTTTAGCAAAGGCAGAGTCCAGGGAAAAACTTCAAGAAATTCTCGTGGTGATGAGTAAAGAGAGACCAAAACAATCTCAATAAATAATATATCGCGACTATCACGGCACAACACTTCACCTATACATGTTCCGGTAACTACCTATAAATAGATGGAAGTTTGACCCGTGTCAAAGGTTGGGGGTGGCTGACGATTCGGAGGTGGCTGCGGGTTGACGAAAGGGAAAAGCGCATAGGCGATCCTCGGGGTCTATCTAACCAAAAGGATAGGTGGACCCCGCGGTCTACCTAACAAAATGCTAGGTTTTAGGATGTGAACCCGTCAGCGTAGTGAAATAAGTAGATCTAGGTTTAACTAAGGATCGGTGGACCCCGGGGTCAACATAGTGAAATAAGTAGATCTCAGTTTATTTTATAGTAGGACTGGCGGAGCCCTTGGTCAACGTAGTGAAATTATAAGTAGACCTAGGTTTAATTAAGGATCGGTGGACACCGGGGTCAACGTAGTGAAATCAGTAGATCTAGGTTTAATTAGGGATTGGTGGACCCTAGGGTCAACGTAGTGAAACAAGTACATGTAGATCTAGGTTTAATCTTTAAAAGGATTGGTGGACCCTGGAGTCAACGTAGTGAAATAGGTAGGTTTATTAAGGTGGACCCCAGCGTCTACCTAACGAAATACTGGTTAAGTTTTAGAATAGGTGGACCCTGCGGTCACCGTAGTAAAATAAGTAGGTTTAATCAAGGTTTCCCGGGGGTTCACCAATCCTTAATTAAACTTTCTTAATCCTCTACGGCTATGGTGACTCCGAGGTCCACAAATCCTTTTAAAATCAAACCTACTTATTTCACTACGGTGACCTCGGGGTCCATCAATCTTTGATTAAACCAACTTATTTCACTACGGTAACCCCGGGGTCCACCTGTCCTAAAACGTAGTATTTCGCTAGGTAGAGACCCTGGGCCCCGGGGTCCACCTTAAACCTGCTTATTTATCACTACGTTGACCGCGGTGTCCACCAATCCTTACTTAAACAAAACCTTATTTCACTACGGTGACTCCGGGGTTCACATCCTAAAACTAAAACCTAGTATTTCGCTATGCAGACCCCGGAGTCTACCTATCCTCTTTAGGACTATTAAACTATTTTCAATTTTCAATTTTCATTCATTAGTATATATTTGTTTTAAATATTGAATCAGAGACTCGCTGTCTAAAAAGTCCACTGCTAATGCTATTCTTATCAGAGAAAATGGCACAATTTGATTTATGACATGTAAAAAAAGGAGTTTTAAAAATATCCAGAAAATAACATAAAATGATTATATAGATCTATATATTTAAATACGTATTTTATTATTATACTAAAAGACTGAGCAGAGGCTTACAATGTAAATTCTGTGCTCTACAAGTAGAGAAAACCTTAAGTTTGCGCAAAACAGATTTTAGAAAAAAAAGTTGGATCTAATTATTCTAATAAAAGTAAAAATGATTGTTATTATTAACTCTGGAAAATACAGTTAGCTACTGAATCTAAAATTAACTAGAACTGTGCAATTCGTTTTATTTCAATTCCAAAGCCCAAAGGCATAGCAATAAGTTAGATCTAGATCTAGCAGTTGTAGGCTCTCTGGCTGCTTCTAGCATAGGCCTACTACTACTGATTCTAGACAGGAAATCTAGATCTAGCTATCACCTGCATTATTAAAATCAAATAATTGTAGTGAAATAAAAACAAAACTGTGAATTGTTTTGTCCGTCAGTACATCCCAATTGCCATAGCCGCACGTATTAAAGTTGAATAATGCCGAAGCAACACGTTATCACAGTGTGCAGGGGAGAGCGGGGTGCCCGGGTCGCTGACCGGTCGATGCGGTGGTTAGTCTTTTGTAGACCTATGCATTTTTTAAGGAAAGCCCTAATACTAGATCTATTAGTGTTGTGAAAACTTCAACATCTACAGCTCAGGCGT